TTTAATTTTTATTTTTTAGCAGTGATGTGGACATATATATTTTTAGCACTGATGTGGATGTATATATATCTTAAGATTTTATTTATTTGACAGAGAGAGCACAAGCAGGGGGAGCCTCAGGCAGAGGGAGAGGGAGAAGCAGGCTCCCCGCTGAGCAAGGAGCGGGATGGGAGCTTGATCCCAGGACCCGGGGATCCAGACCTGAGCTGAAGGCAGATGCTTAATGACTGAGCCACCCAGGCGCCCCTGTCCCCATTTTAGAGAAGACATAGGTGAGGCTCAGAGAGCTAGAAAGTGGTGGAGGTTGGATTCAATTTCAGGTCAGGCTGACCCAAAGCCACTGACTTCTGCACAGCACCTGCTGCCTCCCAGCACCCAATGGCCACAGTCACGATTTAAATAGTCACTGGTTGTCAGACCACACGTCCCAGCTTGAGCCTGGAGGTCACGGACTCAGCCAGCACTGAGGCTCTTTCAGCACCACGCACTTGGTGGTCTCTGCCCTTCTGAAGTCTTTTCGGCTGCTCCGCCTCCCGCTCCCCTCTTGGCCTCCTTCCTTTCCAGAGAAGGAAAAGGACTAGGAATTACAGCCAAGGCAGCCCTTCTGGGAAAAACAATCCTGCAATGAAAAGAGCCCTGTTCTGAGAGCAGACAGACCTGGATTTAAGTCTTGGCATGGAGGCTGCCCTGCTGAGGGCCCACAATGGTGTCACTGCCCCTCTCTGTCCTTGTTTGGGATTCTGTCTGGGTTGCTGACCACCTGTCATCCTCTACTCACCTCCTGATTCCTAGGGCCCTAGAAACATCTGGGGCCTATGGTGACCAGAAGGAGGGGAACTGGCCTGGCACTCTCGAGACACTCCCTGGAATGCTAAAGGGTTGGTGGAGGAACGTCTTTCTCAGGGGACACCAGGCCTGAAAGGAGAAATACAGAAATGGAAGACAAAAGGTACAAGTTTGAGTCCTAGGGTTGTTTCAAATTCCTTGGGTGACCCAGGGTAAGTCCTGGAGTTTTCCATTTTCTCTCCTGCAAAACGAGGACAATATCCGCCTTACGGAGTTGATCTAGAGAACTAAATGAGAGATTTTCGCTAACTTGTGAATCTGTCATATGGTATCCAGCTGCAGCCTTTTATAATCAACAAGACGCACATATACCCAACTCAGGCGTGCGGCCTCAACAAACGCGCCCGGACATGAGGCAGATATGACTGCTCCTATTTCGCAGAAGGACAAAACTGAGACCCAGATAAGTTCAGGAAGTCGTCTGAGGTCGCAGAATGAGGCGGCGGCTGACCACGGTCTCGGCTCACCTGACCCTTGCCTGTCAGAACCAGCTCCCAGTCCCAGGACCCCAGACCTCGCCCCGGAAGACCGATTCAGCGGCTCACTGGAGCCTATGACTCACTCTCCCCACCCTACTTTCAGTAGGGCCCGAGACCTAGAGAGGAGAGGCAAAACTATCTGCAACTTGAGGGGTGTCCCTAGAAAGTTCATGGTTTTGGCCCCTTCCTTCCACCAAAAATCCTGGTTCTTTGAACTCTAACAAGAAGAATCCATCTTTCAATACACTTTGTACGAGGTTTTACACTTTCTTAGGTGGGATTTTCCTACCTTGAATTTAGGAGTTGACTCAGTTTAATCTCCACCCCCACTTCACTTGGTTTGCCCTCCCGCTGTTTACTCCGATTGCGGAAGTAGCTCGGGTGGAGCTCCCTAGTCGGTATCCTTGAGTACGTCTTTTGCGTAGCTATTTAACTGGCACTCCACTCAGGCCAATGGGATGCCCGAAAGCCCCAGGAGGGTGGGGCAGAGAGCCAATCAGGGCCGTTGGTGGGGTGTGGCTGCGTCCCAGGGAGGGGAATCGCGTAATGGCGGACGCGGGCCGGGTGAACGCGGCTGGGGGCGTAGCGCGCTGAGGGGGGTCTGGCTGTGTGGCAACCCCGGAGGCGGCCCGCGGGAACAGACCCCGTGCGGGGAAGGGCGGCTGGCCGGCCCATCTGTCGCTGAGGGCGACCGCGCGAGACCAGGTGAGCAACAAGTTCCCGCGGGCGGGCCCCACCGTGAGGCGCCGGCCCGGCCGCGCCGCCACCCCCCACCCCCTGCCCCGAGCCTCGCGGGGTCCCGGGGGAGTGGGTGGCGCGCCTCCTGCTGCGGATGGGGAGTGCCCGGTCGAGCGGTCAGCGCGGGGTGGCCTAGAACTGTACACTCCCCTCCCCAGGGAGGAGGTGTCCTGGAGATCCCCTCGGAGACTTGGAGGGGCCGGCGAATCTGTGAGGCTGCGAAAGTGCCCCCAACCTGACCTGGCGCTGCCACTCACTCGCTGTGTGACCTTGGGCAAGTCACTTCCCTCTCTGGGCCTCAGTTTCCCTATTTGTAAAACGAAGGCTTTGCAGGCAGTTGTACGTGAGTTGGATCTCAGATATTCTTGGAGATCTTGGGCAGGTTGTTCTCCAGGCGGAGCTTCAGTTTCCATCTCTGGGCCATGAAGGAATTGTAGTGCTCTTTGAGATCTCTGGCCTGCTAAGTTGAGGAGTGGCGGAGAGGACTGTGTGCACGTACGTGTGTGTGTGTGTGTGTATGTATGTATGTATGTATATGTACAGGATGGTTCTGCAGGGTAAGGAGGAGAGTTGGCTAAAGGGGCTCTTGCATGAAGGCTGGATGGATCCCAGGTGTCTCGGTCCTCCAGGATCCTAGAGCCTCTGAGATGGCAAAGTTTTATACACTGGTGCTCCATAGCATCAGAGGAGAGGAAAGCATCCTTGGAACCTCTTGGGGCAGTGATTGAAATTTAGGCCCGAAAGAATTCAGGAGGGTTAGGAGTAGGAGGGGGAGCATTTATGGTGCTCCTACTATGTACCAGCCCTTGTTTAGGCTTATGTTTTTACTTAATTTTTACAGCCGCTGTTGAGAATTTACACATAAGGAAACTGAGTTTCAGAGAAATTAAGTAACTTGTCCACGGTCACACAGTGAGGTACAGCACTTATCAACCATAAGGTGGTTTCCTTTGAGAATCACCAGACAAGGGGGAAGTCATTGTCCACTTAAAAGAAGTTTGCTTTGTCACAAACGGGGGGAGGGGTCTGGTCCCAGACACTTGAATTGACCTCTGGCATGGAGACAGGCTGGACCTTGATCTCTGGATGGCTAATTTTAAGTGCATTCCCTTTCTTCAGTCTGTGACTTGGAAAGGACCATTTGTAAATTGTAAAAGTTACTTTGAAGTATGTCAGAACCTCAAAGAACTCAGTTTGAATCCTGACTGGGTGACTTGTAGAAGTTCACCAACTGTTGGTGTATAGACTTGACTCTTAGTTCAGAGGTGCCAGGCCAGTTACCTTTTCTCCTCCCTAAGAAGGCTAAATTTTCTTGGGACGAGAGAAATTTCCCACTTGTTCAAATTTCTTTGGATTCCTGGAACGAAAGTTTCAGTATCCTGCCTCTGGTGAAGTGTAATGTTCCTTCCTTTCTTTGTGTTCCCTGTTATCTGACTTGTAGATGAGTGAAGATTGTGGACCTGGAGTCAGAGACTAGTAGTTGGATACGATAAATTGTAGCCCTTAATTTTTCCAAGCCTCAGCTTTTGGTTAATCAAAATGGTAGGACCGGCAGTGTATTGTTCCCATATGTCAATGGTAGGGAAGAAAATTGGGAAGAGGAAGTTGCTGAGAAAGAGGGCGTTTCTTAGCAGTGGAGCCAATATGTATTTCTTTGTTTGAAATTCTAAAACCAGAAAAGCAGCAACTGAAGGAGGAAGGAAGGAAAGAACTGTGAAACTCTTCTTCCACGTCAGCTATCTTTAAGAGCTGTTCCTGTTGCTGTCCCTGTCCGAGGCCCTGCTTTCACAGAAAAAGTCAGTTGTAATTTGTTCAAAGTTGAGAAATTGTATTCTAGAATGATACCTTTATTTTTTATTTATTTTTAATTTTTACTTATTTATTTAAGATAGAGCACAAGCAGAGGGAGCAGCAGGCTCCCTGCTGAGCAAGGAGCCTGATTCAGGACTCGGGACTCCACTCCAGGACCCTGAGATCATGACCTGAGCCGAAGGCAGAGGCTTAACCAACTGAGCCACCCAGGCGTCCCTAGAATGATAATTTTAGATATGCAACCCTCTGAGATAAATTTCTTAAAAGTCAGAACATTTTACTGAGTTTGTTGTTTACCAGTGGATGATTCTTTTTCTCAACTTAATTGCCAGTTGCAGTCTTTGGCCTGTCTTAACTGTGATTTAAATTAGTGAATTTCAACCTAAGAAGAATTGATCTAGATACTGGATGATGCAGATACCGCCGTCACTTGAAAAAACATAAGGGTGTGTTTGAGTTTTGACATTTGTTAAAAGTCTTTTTAATGCTTCGTTTTACAGGATTATGTATGTGTGAATAGTTGTTAAGGCATTGAATTTATTTTATCTGAAGATCTACCTTCATTCTCTATATTAGTTATATTTTCTGTATAAGACAGACTTAATTAGCATACCAGTCCATAGTACCTTGGGGCCAAAAAAAAAAAAAACAACCACCACACCACATCAGTTCTTGGGACCAGATGTTTTTTGAATATAGAACTTTTGGGATTTTAGAAAAGGAATATGGTACATGTACTGTGTGTTACGTAACATCCCAGAGAGGTGAGGGGCAGCACCTTGTAATCAAACACATTACCATTTCTGTAGTAAATGTTCATTCCAACTGGTATAAATAAATACTATAAATAGCCTCATGTCATTTCATGTTGGGTTTTGCTACCAAATGAATAATGAAAAACTTATTTTTACAGCCTTTTAGATTTTGGAATTGAAGTTAAGGGATTGTGGATAAATGGGTAAAACTTATATGGGTCCATATAAGTTTGGATAAAAGTTATATGATGACAAGGACAATTACAAGGAAAAATATTGTAAGCCAAACTAATTTCAAAGCTGTGGGTCCTAAAAACAGTAGTACATGGAAGACAGTTTTTGTTCATGTGCTTCTTTCATGTAATTGTCTTATTATAATTAATACGTGCCAATGTACATTTTTCCTTAAGTACCCAAATTTACTTTTTTTTTTAAAGATTTTATTTATTTATTTCACAGAGAGAGGGAACACAAGCAGGGGGAGAGGGAGAAGCAGGCTTCCCGCTGAACAGGAAGCCCGATGCGGGGCTCCATCCCAGAACCCTGGGATCATGACCTGAGCCGAAGGCAGACACCTAACAACTGAGCCACCCAGGCGCCCCTCAAATTTACCTTTTAATACCCTCCTTGTTCCCTTTTTTAGATCTTTGAATGGCACCCTTCCCTTCTTTTTAATTTTAATTTTAATTTATTTTTATTATTTTTTTCCCTACACCTCTTTTTAAAAAAGTAATTTATAGGGTCTTGTGCTCACCGGTTTTTGTGTAACAGTTAAGAGAATTATACCTTTGGGGCGCCTGGGTGGCTCAGTCGTTAAGCCTCTGCCTTCGGCTCGGGTCATGATCCCCGGGTCCTGGGATTGAGCCCTGCATCGGGCTCCCTGCTTGGCGGGAAGCCTGCTTCTCCCTCTCCCACTCCCCCTGCTTGTGTTCCCTCTCTCGCTGTGTCTCTCTCTGTCAAATAAGTAAATAAAATCTTAAAAAAAAAAGAGAATTATACCTTTTTCTGTATAATTCAGAGAAAGACTAATCAGGTGAGGATCTGTAGATTTATGTTTGCAGAATTTAAAGCTCATTCTCTCTTCAGGGTGGTCTTTAGTATGAGGTCATCACTGCTGGGTAGGATTTAGGTTGAAAAAATAATTTTTTATTTTATTTTTTAAAGTAAGCTCTGTGCCCAGTGTGGGGCTTGAATTCACAACCCCAAGATCAAGAGTTGCATCCTCTACTGACTGAAAAGTTTTTAATTTTGGGATGTCTAGCTGGCTCAGTCAGTAGAGCATGTGATGCTTGATCTTGAGAGTGTGAGTTCAAGCCCCACTTTGGGGGTAGAGTTTACTTAACAATATTTTTTATTTCTAATTTTTGAAGCTTCCACAGTTTGAATATCTTGGTAAGGAGTTTAATAAAATATATTTAATTTAGAGTATTTTTATTTTAAGTGTATGCTATATGAGAAATTTGAATTTACCAGCCTTATGAATTTGGGTGATTTCTTTAAATGGCCAGGTCCTCTAGGAGTAAATTAAAAAAAAACTCTATTCTTTACTCTTCTTGGGCAGTTCAGCTATAGAGTGAGGTAGACTGGTGGTGTTGGAGGTGAAAGAATGATTTCTTCTCTTTAAAAGAGGCCCCATGGGAAACCTCGGTTGAGCGTCTGCCTTCAGCTTGGGTCATGATCCCAGGGTCCTGGGATCAAGTCCCACATTGGGCTCCTTGCTCAGGGGGGAGCCTGCTTCTCCCTCTGCCCCTCCCTCTGCTTGTGCTCGCTCACTCTCTCTCTCTGACAAATAAGTAAATAAAAATCTTTTAAAAAAAAGAAGCCTCATGACAGCATGAATTTGAGAGATTCTGGCCTTCAGGATACCCCGTAGCCTCCTGATTTGTGGGCCTCAAATTCATCCTCCTACTTGGGGTGTCTCCATAGTTCCTGCGAATGGTACTTTTACTGTCTGGGAGATAGAAAGGGTATAGAACAGCATATCAGGAGTTGCAGGTGGATTCGGTGTACGACTGGACTAGCCAATAGGAGCAATTCTTATCCAGACTACCCCAGTTTCTTCTATTTTATAAGCACTGATAGAATTGCAAAAGAACTACAATTGGTGGACTAACATCCTTTTCCAAGGTACTCTGTTGTGACTGTGGATAAGCTCTTCAAGACAGGAACTGTGTCTTGTACTTCTTTTGTATTCTGTAATGCATCAAACTTGTCTTGCATTAGAATTTACCATTAAGACATATTCGTATCTGGGGGCGCCTTGGTGGCTCAGTCATTAAGTGTCTGCCTTCAGCTCAGGTCATGATCCCAGGGGCCTGGGATCGGGCTCCCAGCTCTGTGGGAAGCCTGCTTCCCCCTCTGCTTGTGTTCCCTCTCTCGCTGTGTCTCTCTCTGTCAAAT